GCCTTGTTTTTCTTCAAAAGTTTGCAGTAATATGAAAATATCTCATGCTTCATTTTTCAGAGTATGCTTTAAAGTCAAGTGTGGTAAAGCAGAGACCATTGTGAAGATGCTGTGTGGCTTTCTAAACTGAGAGAGAAAAATAAACTGAAATAGAAACACAGTAAAATTCTCTTGGGTGTATTTGAAGTTAGAATATGGTTAAGTCTTGAATATTGATTTAAATACTATAAAAGTTGCTGTGAGGTATATATTAATAGTTTGCATTTTCATCAGATGCCACAGAGTAGACTATTCCGCACTTGCAGCAAGAGCAGCTCCTAGGTATAAACAAGTCTGAGCCTTTCCTTTTCAGGAGTCAAGTGGCATAGTTTCAGCCCACCACCAGCATTTCCTCACACTTCCTATTTTTTTCCTCTTTCTTTAATATAGATTACACTGACTCAGCAGGTTCACAAGCCACTGCTGTTTGTGTCTGCTCCCGTCTGTAAAATGAGGGGGTAGCAATCCAGCCATCTAAAAGAGAACAGTACCATAGAGCATCTTTGTCTGGGTATTATTTTCTCTCTCTGCTGCTTAACTGCTTTGCCAAGTAGTTGGTTGACTTTAGTCTTCCACCTACACATTTCAGCACCCTGATTGCAGGATACTGCAAAGCACTGAACAAATCCTGCTGTAAAACAGCCTTTGTTCTATTTTTTCCAGTGTGACCTGCACTTCCAGTTGGGAGCTGGATTTCTCTGGACTTGTGGTCCCCACAGTCAGCATAGACAGGTTTTGGTTGGTGTCATGACCCCTCATTTGGAAACTGATGTTCTAAAAAGCATTACAAAACGGTGAGCAAACTGACTCAATTCTCAGTGATATAACTGAAAGTGCGATTAGGTCAACGCTCAGACTGTCTTTCAGAATCTGAGCATCATATATTTGAATTGTCCTGCAGAAATTTTGCTTCTGTTCCTCAGGATACAAAATGGGGAGTGCAGTTTGTCCTGTGTGCTGCTGGTGTCCAGCAGGTATCTTGAAGTGACAAATAAAAATAAGAATCACCTTTGATAACTAGAATAAGCTGAAGTAATTTAACAATCTATTTTCTTGGAGACAAAGAATTCTGTTCCCCTTATAATCCAGTTAGCTGACATTGTGTCCAGGGTTTCTTCTGCTGTTCTGACAGAGTCTACAAAGTTCCAAAAGCAGAGAATGATTTCTGCCTCTGGCTGAAAATGAAGTTCATTAACTTGGAAGTGCTGGCTGAGACCTTGCTTGGGGGGAGGAGAGCTGCTGTTGTATTTTTTGCATCCCTTGTGCCATTTTGGACTTCAGCAGTATTTATTTTTAGTACATTTAAACACTGCAGAAGGAAGGGGCAGTTGTAATATGGCATATTTACATCATGCTGTCAGTTCCTGGCAGCTTGCTTGCCTGTCAGAGAACAGAACTAGTCCATTAAGGATGTGAGTGCTACTTGTGCCCACGAGTGGTGAAACATCGTCTCCAGGGTGGGAAGGCCTCCCCAGGCTAGTAGGTTGGTTTGTTTTTCTAAGGTGCATTATGGGTTTGGTTTTTTCATGTCACAGAGACAGGAACGGGCCATGCTACCACCCACTTTTTCCTTCTCCTTTACTCTGTATAGGAAAAAGAGAGGCAAAGTCTCTACATGAGATCAGCATGTGCTGGTTTTTCCCCTCATGTCACGCTTGAGTTCTCTGCCCCATTATAAAAATAAAGATCTATAAATAAAACAGAACAAATGCTGAGGGGGACAAACTGGACCCACAGTTATGTGCATGTCGTCACTTGTAGAAGTGTGCCTAGCCCCATTCCTCCCAGGCTTCATACATTCCCCGTTTCTTACGCCGTCAGCCTCTCAGGATGGGAAACGTGCACAGATAGTTCTGGCTGGAGCTTTTTTTGCCCTGCCATAACATAATATTAATTGAGCTAAAGCTGAAATGATGTTGGACTCATGCTGTTGAATTAGCTCATGCTCCATTTATATATAATTTTTTTTCCTCTTTCTTTGAAAAAAATATTGCTATAGGTTTTGCTGTCATGCTTTAATGTTGCGGTAATATATTTCTCCTGGAATTAAGCAGTAGTTAGGTCTGATCTCCCATATGTAACATGCTGTCTCTGTTAGCTTCGAGCATAGGCACCCTATGATTTCCCTTTCTTGGAAACTGCTCTGTCTCAGCATGTGGGTAGGAGGCCATGTAAATAAATACCAACCACTTCTTAGCCTTCAGTAGGCATTTCCTTTTTCCTGGTGGCTACAGAAGAAACACTTTCTCACAGTTTGGCATTGAACATTTATAAAACTTTCCTCCTTGTGGAATTTTTGTTTAGACAATCAGATTCTTAGTACAGTTTTTTTCATCAGTTTCTATTTTTACTCATCTGTGGTTGCTTGGTTTGTCAGTAAATAGCGTCTGTCAGAACAAACACTTGGTCAGAAAGTTCTTAAATTTCTGGTAATTGAATAGTAAATCATTGTAAGCATATTCTGTAATAGAGAAAGGTAAGTTTTAAAGAATAAAAAATAGGCTTATCTAGTTTTTTTGTTAGTTATGATGGAATAAATAACATTGATATTTCTTCCCAAAAGTTTTTTTTTTTTTTAAATATATATAACTTGTCTTAAATGTTTGAAATAGAAAACAGAGTATCTTACATTACCAGGCAGTCTAGATTTCAACTAAAAAAAAAATATGAATATTTGCTTTTAATATAGAGTTTAATATGTGTTCTCCTGAATTTATACACTGGGTTGTTTTTCATGCATGTGTCACTTTGTCACGGCAGCAAAGCTAACACATCGTTACCTTTTACATGCTCCAAGAACTATTTAGGACATAACTTTATAATATATAATATATCAAAACAGATCATTCCAATAAAAATCACTATTAGAGGACAGTGTACTTCAAGTTTTTATGCATAAGTATCTGGTCTGTAAGTTTTTTATTTAGTTTCATTTACTATTTATTTACTTTTTTTGGTAAATTACGAGTTTACTTTGCTTAGTTTTATTTATCTCAGTGGTCATACTTACTGAATAGATGACAGTATCCTCTCCCTTCAGGGAGAACCCCAAAGGTTCAGAAAGCGTGTGTTCCCTGGGAGCAGAATACAGTTACGAACTGTGGGAAATAGCTATCGACTGGCACTAGACTCCTTTGTTGGAATTGTTGTTGGATGAGGGATTGAAGAATATATGTATATAAGATCTTTTGTGAGTAGTAATTTCTAGAACGGCTAAGCTAGAGGCAGTGTGAAAATCCATCAGATACTTTTTATGTAATACTCCCACACTGGACTTGATAACTTTTATATTCAACAAAACAAGACAGTAGAAACCATACTTTTCCACAAAGGCCTTTGAAATATGCTTTTTCCTCTACTGAGGCCTGTTATGAAGCTGTCTAGGAAAGCGAGCCATTGTTGGACACATCACTCTCTTTTTATAATTTCACTTAGGTATGTTCTCATCCAGTTTAGTTTTGCAATCTGCTGATGCTTAGCCAAGTTGAATTGCATCTGCCCTCACAGTACACACATCTCAGTCTACCTAGGACTTCTTCCACTTCTCCACAGTAGAAGTTCCTTTTGTGTATTTCTTCTGGGAAATACGTATTGAGAAAAATGAGTCCTAGTTTGGTTTGTCCCTTTTGCCCTCTTTTATGGCATATGATAAACTATTATCACATGCATATTTCTTACTTGAGCCAACCACTGTAAGTGATGTCCCAGTTCACAATTCTCCAGCAAGTGCAGTGGGTGCTAGTCTCTACAGCTAGTTCTGATGATGGCTAGACAGAGACTAGGCACTCTTATTTCATGTTGGCAGATAAGGGACTGCGAAGGAATCCTAAGCTTTCCAACTCTGGTGATTTATTGAACTTCTGTAAGGTCATTGGGTAACCAAATTCACAAGAACCTCGTTTGGTATCCACTGCACAAATTCCAGGGCATAAATCCTCTCCACCTCCATTGCTGCCATGGTAATGGCACCAGCCTTAACACTACCTTAATGGCCTTTGAAAGCTCTTAAACTCTGTACTGTTAGTGCCCTTGTGAGCAATTTTGTCATGATGTGTAAAACCAGAATGGGGGTGTAAGTATGCAAGTGTTGACCCGCCTGTCTCTGGATCTCTTCTACTTAGCATCAGGTGTATTTGCAAAATAAAATGGAGAGGTTTGCCCTCGTTAATCCATCAGTATGAGAACTTCAAGGAAGTTTAACACAATGGGAACAGCTAATAATCGTAGGGCTTTTTTGTTCTAACATCATAAAGTAGCTTGAGAGCGTTGCTAGTCCTGAATTTGGAGTGACAGGAAGCAAGAAACCTAGAAAAGGTGAAATTACAGTGATTGTGCTGTAAATGAGAGTTGTGATTAAAATGCAGGAGGAGTTGACTTACAGCAAGAGTGAATAGGTCATTCCTACTGTTTGGAGAAACAAGCTCGTTAGATTAGAGTCTGGTTTTGTTTGTGTGTGGTATATGTGAAACCTTGATGATTGCATGATTTTGATTGTTTTGTATGATTTTTGTATTTTCCACTGGAAGAATGAAAATTTATCCCTGGGATCATCAAATGCCACCCCTAAATAATAATAGTAATTCTAGATAGAGATTAATTTTATGTCACAGGTTACTCCATTTGCTACGCAGACATGGGAGAAGAATTCTGCACTGATTACATACTTTCGTTTTAGTTAAGTGTGACCCTTTTTATAGTTCAGAAAAATGAAGAATAATGAATGTAGATACTTATGTGTTTGAGATTTATTTTTTTTTTTAACTAGGAAATGTTTTAAAACAGAACTGGAATTGAGGTTTCATTTCTGTTGCAGGTATGTCTATGAAAGATAAGCAGACATTTTGGAGATTCCCTTACAATAATAAATGTACTGAAGGCATTACCAACTAAACAGACCTTGCTGAGATCAGACTTCTTTGAGACTTCCCATATAATGTTGTTTTAATCTGGTTTTTTCCCAGGAAAAAGAGAAGAAGTATATGCTTCCTTTGGACAACTTGAAAGTGCGAGATGTTGAAAAGAGCTTCATGTCTAGCAAACATATCTTTGCATTATTTAACACGGAACAGAGGTAAGAAAATGTACTATTCTGGAAATACTTCTGTAAAACTGTATCTAGCTGAGCATTTTAATAACTGGAAGTGCAGTTCTGGTATTTCTACTATCTTGAGTGAACAAAGATCTTGATTTATCTGCTGCTTTGCTGTTGCATAACCATGGGATGAAAGGTTAGTGTCCTCCTAGCCACTCATGGGGTGAAACAACTCCATGATTAGTCATCTAGTTCTTACGTATGGCTGAATAATCATCTCCTGATCCTATTTTTGTTTTGTTTGGCAATCACCTAGGCTTACCAAAACATTCACGACTTCTGTACCTTGTGACCAGATTCAGCTGGTGTAAATCACAAAAGCATCATTGCTTTTCACTTTCTCCAGTGGAAAATCTTGCTTCTCTGTAATCTTGGGAGTCATTCCATTGTTTGTGTGAGTTTAAATACTGCTGAATGGAGAACAAATGAGATTTCCCTAATTAATTGGAATCTTTGCTTTGTAGTGTTTGCCTCATACTTTTCCTTTCAGACTCCAACCTCTGATTTAAGTGGTGTGGGTACTCTAAGGAAGCCTACTCCTGATGCACAGCCAGTTCAGATTACTGTGCACAAATAAGTCAAGGAAACATGAAAACACTTAAAGACATACAAGTGACCTGTAATTTCATTTACTTATTTATTTACTGGAGAGTTGCGTTTGCCTTGCTGCACTCTCAGTGGCATTGCATTTCAGCAGATAAGGTGCAGTTTCTCTAAGTTATTTTTCATGAAAATAAATAAAATTAATTGTAGTGGTAGCATGGAGAGGTGCCTGTGTTTTTGTCTTGTCTTCTGCTAAGTCCCTTCGCACTGAGTCCCCCTTTGCATTGCCACAGCTTGACAGTACATTCAGATGTTGTTCAAGATCATGAGGGTTGGATGTGGCTCCCTGCAGAGCCAGCTGTTGTTGCTCCTGAACTGACCAGAAATAGTCCTTTCAGAAGCAAGGAATGCCCCTCCCTCCTGCAAAGCAAGAGCAAAGTACAGGATTTCTGGGCTGTCAAGTTTCTGCTGGCCCCAGAAACATGAGGATGCAATGTGAGTCTCGCTCTGAACTACCCCATGAAGGCTTTGCCTACATCTGCTGACATCTCAGCCTGCCTACATGTGGACATTGTCTGCCAGGAGATGCCCTTTGAAAGTATGCCGCACACATACTTGCTGGGAATAAGATTTCAAACACTTGACCACTTACATTTCTGGAGCACAGAAAAACCTTTGAAAAACTTTTCATGTTTTTGAAAACATAGATGATCTTCACATGCTGAAAATGAATGTAATTCTGATTATTCTGCTATAGATACGTGTGAATCGTCCCAACATTGCACATACATCTCTCAAGAAAGATAACTTTGTGGCTTGATATCAGCTTGTACATATTAAGTTCCTTCCATGAGAAATCCGTTGATTTTAGCTTATTGTTTCTCCTTTGTTTTGGCTAATGGCTTTGAATATTTTAATAGTCTTAAGTATTGATCACTGAACTGCTGTGAAAATCCAAGAGAAACAGGCATTTCTATTGGCAAGTTTGGGATTTATTTGGGTCTTATATAGCTGCCTATTCACACTTTCACTGAATCTTCATACACACTGGACAGCAAGGGTTTCAGAAATGGATGTCTTAAATGTTTGCCATGTCTGTAATAACCCTGCCCATTTGGGCTGTGAGTAGACCCTCCAGCATCTGCAAGCTGCTCTAAAAACATCCTTATGTATATGGGCATGTTAAGACATGACAACACAGTGATAAGATGACAAAATAACTGCCCTGGGAGAAGCTGTTTATGAAGAGAGTCTTTCAGCTTAAAAGGAGGCAGAACTTGTTCTTGAAGAAATATTTGTTGAGTTCTAATTACAACAGCAATTTCTCTATTACTATAAAACAGCTGATTTTTTCATATTTATAAAAATCTGCCTGCTGGCACAAATTGGTCAAAACAAGTTTAGTATCAGTTTCCACTGTTTATTAAATTCATAGATTTTGTCAGAAGAAGCAGGGATGTTGGGGCTTGAGTAGAGTGATCTGGCCCTCAGCTGGGGACTGTGTTCCCTGTCTCAGATTCTTAGGGAAACTGAAACAGTGAATTGGTAAAGATCTGTTGAAATAAGGAGTCTCGTAGTTTTACTTCATGATAATCTGTTGATTTTTGGTTTCTGAATGGGGGGTAGGGTGGGTGTAAATACAGGTTGCTTTTCGAAGTTCATGTTAAAATGTACTTAGTTTCTGGCTGGGTTTTTTTTTTTTTGGAGGGGGGGGTGGTGTTTGGTTTTTTTAATTAAAAAAACCTTAGCAATTGAGAAATAAATCAGCTTTTTCTTTCTGAGTTTGCCTGCTGAGGGTTCTGGTTATGGAACCATTTTGCTATTTAAGATGTAGATCATTAAAGAACAAAGGCAAAATCATCTGTTCCAGCTTCCATGATAGCATAGAGATTATTCTGTATCTCCCCCTTTTTTTTTTTTTCCTTTCCCCCCTCATAATCTGCAGCATTTCTTTTAGTCAACTATGCAAACTTTCTTAATGTTCATTATAAGTATTTTAATTTTCAAGCAAAATTCCTTTAGGAGAAAAATTTTAATAAGCTTGTTCTCTTTTTCATTCCCAGCCCCTCACTGCATAGGTATTTGCTACAGCCATATGTTTCTGATACTGTACATTTCAATAGTTTCCTGGATTATGCACTGCATTTTTTCCATTTATGAAAACCTTTCCAGTTCTGAAATATAGTTACCAGGAAAATGCTCATTTCACTGTATAGAAGGAAAAACCATCTTGAGCTAGCTGGGGCTTGGGGATAGATGCAGAAGGAAACTAACAGTATCTGTCACTTTGATTTACTGCAGAAGTCAACATTTCTCTGACAGGAATCAAATGTGACTTGGTAATGTATAGTAAATGGAGACTGTGATGATTGATTTCACAGTGCAGATAAATTCTCATGAAATGAACATAATTATGTGTTTATGAAAAGGCTGCATTGTGAAATAATTAAATTCTTTTCCTGTTACTTTTTAATTATTTATTTTTAAAAGGAAAAACAAAAAAGAAAACTCTTGGTGTGAAACATATAGTATTTCTTAAACAATGGGGGACTGAGTTTTGCTTTTCAGCAAATTAATGATTTATTTAAAGTTTTTGAGTGGGCCCATCTACTTAATTTATAGATGCCATGGAAGACCTTTGGAGATGGACTCCTCTAGTTTACTTAACTTAGCAGTACTAGATATTAAAGCAAAGTATACTGGGGTGAGTTCCCATTGACTCCTGGATCATTTTTGGCCATGTCCATCTACATAAGTCTGCCTTTAAGCAAATGAAGTTGAGCTGTAGGGTCAAGCAGTACGTGTCTAAACCTGAAGCTGCCAAGAAAGTGAGTGCTAGTTTGTGCTGACCATCCTTTTCTCCATAGTAAACTGCTGGCAAGTCTTTTAGACTGGAGAAGAGATCAAATATATTACAAGTATTTGAAAATAATTATACTGTAGGAAAGAAACTAATGTTTGCAATACTGCTGTAGAACATAATGTGAAGTTGTGTAGATGTAGCCACTGATTGACTTTCTTAGGCAGAGCTAAGAATGAAGGAGAGAGGATTTTGTCAGCACCTGTGCTTACATACGGTAGATTAACTTGTGATGTCCTCATTGATGAATGTGTAAGACTTGTCCAGAGTTCAAGAACAAACAAAACAAATTCTGTCCATCCCAGAAAGTTTACTTTCCTTCTAGGATTTCATTCCAAACACTTTGCCTATTTCCCACATATTTTCTGTAAAAATTTACTTGCTGATTGGTGCTTTTTATTTTAGTTAAGTACCGTAGTCTGGGACAAAACTGTAGTCTTCAATGTGCCTCCCGTTAGAATCCATGCAATGGTCCTATCTCTCCCTAATTAAGGACAAGCAGTCATTTTTTTCTCATGGTCTTGTCCAGTTGACTACAGGATCCACATGGCACTATTTTACTAGATTTTGTATTATTCTGAAGTAATCCTTTGCCTTTGCAGTAGAGTAGTTGCACTTTTTTCATTATTTATTGGTCAATAAATTCTATTACTGTATTACAACTCAATCTAAATACTACTTCTCTTTTAAGTAAAGGAGGAATGATGAGTAAAAACTCTCTTCTTTTGCTACATGCAGAGAAAAAGGTTTGTTTCCACTTCTTCTCCAAGTCTGAAGAGGTGAATTCTTTCTCTTTTGTGGGAGAAGCGATTCTAGTAGGTAAAGATTCTTGGGTTTATAAAATGGTAGTAGGCTGAAGTGTTTGTTGAGTTGGTGAATTTTCAATCCTCTCCTTCCACTACTGGGAATAGCAACTCTACAATGAGGAGGAGTTACCTGGTGGAGGATACCTTATCAGTAGTCTTTCTTAAGCAGGAAGCTCTGTTCCTCTTCAGACTCATTCCTTTCCTTGGAGCCTAAAAGCAGAACCAGTAAGTGAAATTATCCCTTCCTTGCAGAGGAAGATCCCACCAATTCTCCCTGTCTTTTACTTTCCTGCCAACCAGGATCCAGATGAAACTGAATAATGGTGTTGCTTTCCTCACCTCTGTGGTTCTGTATGATGGGGGAATGTGAGGGACAAATTCAAAGCACAGAACTGTTCCTGTTTGTTTGCTTTTCCAAGAATAGGTTCCTGAGAACTAAATGCTTCTCAATAATCATGCAGCAGCATGGCAGAACCTACCATCCCTGCATGAGAGCTGACTGCCTGGGACAGGCTCATGGTAGAAACAGATCCTTAATCTGAGAAACAGATGAATGGCAAGAGGAGAGCAATCAAAAGGAAGTTTTGAGGGCACGCAATGGGACTGGCTACTGGCTCCTGAGTACACTCTGACTGTCAGGAATCATATTGCACAAGAAACTGTGTTGTCTAGTAGGACCCAGGAGAGTATGCTGTGTCAACTAAGTGAAAGGTATAACGATATTTATTTTGGGTGCACGTTGTTGTCCGAGTGTTGCTGTAGAAGGGGAT